GTAATTTATGAACCTAATAGGAATCTAAAGTCATTTGCACATGTTGCCATGCAACCAGTCCATGCAGAATGTAGGCACCCTGTATATAGAAATGAGCAAACCAGTGATATTTTAGGGAGCAGGCTAGCAGGCGGGGCCCATTACTTACATCATAGGAGCCTACACAACACAAAACGCTGTTGCTGAATGTAGGTTTTATTTTATTTGTTTTGTATCTTATATTTTGGAAATGTACATCCAGGTTTTTTCCTTTAAATTTTTGGGGGCCCCCAAGGGAGTGGGGTCCTAAGCTACAGCTTGTTTAGCTTATATGTAAATCCACCACTGCCTGTGTGCATGCAAGGACGCTGAATATGAGGGTGTGAATAAACAGAGTCAGAATCGAATGTACTATTTCTTCATCCTGAGCAAAATCTGGGGTCCTGAGAATTTAATTATTTCTCCCTGCTTCTTCCTTTTTTAAAAAAGAGCAAGTTCCTAGCCAGTGGAAAGTCTGAGATATTATTATAGAAGATAGTGTCAGTTTGAAGCTTCAGAAAGCAGAGGATATATCTACACAGGATTCTAGGTATTCCCTCCTTGGCAGAGGCTGGTCCCTCTACTTATGGAATGGCCTAGAGGGGAAGCCCTCCCTTTGAAAGAGTCCCCTGTTTGAAGGGATGCCTAGTCTGATAGGACTCAGCTACACAGCTGCAAATAAAATGTTTTAAGTGTGTTGTAAAGCGCATTATACAAATGTGGCACTAGATGGCAATGGTGAGCTATGGCAAATTCAATATATTTTTTTCAAAACTTTTTTTAAAAGCATTTTCACATTACTTATATGTGTGCAAATTCCACCTCAGCCTCATTTAAAGTTAAAGAGATGCTTGAAGTAGCAGTAGCTGCAGTAGCAGTAGGTAATAAATGAAATCCAGCAAGCAGGTTGTTAGAGGGCAGCGAGGCAAGTCTGGATTCAGTCTCCCTTTCCCCAGCAAAACAGCTGATGGCCAGAATGAAACCTTTTGAAAAAGAGCTAACTACACATGCATGAGAAGCCCAGATATTCCGCATGAGCCATGGGCTCATGGGTCTGCCCGTATCTTCTCTGGCACACATGACCTCTGTCTATGCCACCTCAAATATCCACAATGCATGAGAGAAGTGTTTGCTTTTCTCAATCAGTTCCCATTTGCACTGACTTAGCCTCTCCTGCTTTGAACACCACCCCTTAGGCATGCCCACATTTTGTTGGGTGTGAGGATTGGACACTCGCCATCTTTTCCCTGCTGAACAGAGGGAAGCAGCAAAGAATGTCTCTCTGTGGGGCTGATGTCACTGCCTCCCCCTCTGATCTTTTGTGGTCCCGTCTCTTTTTCTGCTCTTCTAGATCCATTTTGTGTTATGCCACCCTTTTGACATTCATTTTGTGAGGGGCGCCCATGGCACTTTCTCCAATTTCCAAAAATGCCTATTGCACTGGGAAGTTGGAAACGTCTGACATGGGGGTACTCTGTTAGATAATGTAATAAGTATTCTTATTTCTGGGGTGTGTACAGAAATGTTTTGATGGGATAACCCTTTGGTAGGGCACATTGTCAAGACTTGTGGGCATTACTTGGGTATTTGGATTCTTTTACTGTCTTCCCATAAAGTCCTTGTTCAATTAAAGGAAAAACAAAATATTTATTTCCCACTGTCAGATATTTTGGTGGGGGGGTTTTATAGACCCTGTTATAATACCCAGACATCATACTGTCCAACCTTTGGAGATCCAAACCCAGAGGTATGTCTTCTGGGATGTGCTCTTGGGCAAGTCAGGTGACCCACTCCTCGCTCCCCAAATCTCATGAGGTGCCTAAAAACACGCGAGATGGCAGCCCCAAAAAAGTGCTTTCTGGGTTGCAGAAGGACAGTAGAAGAGCATGCTTACTTTTCTTTCTTTTCTTCCAGGCTTCCATGCCGTAATGCCCACTGGCCGGGAGTTCATCACAGCCTTCCTGCAAAACCATAAGCTGGACTACTCTGAAGCTCAGTTCCAGCTCTACGTTTCCGGCTACTCACCTTCTACCACCGTCACCATCTCAGTCTACAAATCTAAGTTCCACAGCCAATTCCCCCTCGCCCGGGGTCAGACTGCCAAAGTGAAGATACCAGCTTATGCAGAGATGGCCGGCACAGCTAAATTCTGCTACACCGTTGTGGTGAAAGCTAACCAAGACATCTCTGTGTTGGCCCTCAACTCCAAGAAGAATACAGCCGACACCACTGTGATCTACCCAGTCCACAGCCTAGGCACAGAATACTATGTCCTCACACCTCCTGGAGAGCTGTCCAATTCATACAAGGAGTTCTCCATCATTGCGTGGCAGGACCTCACTGCGGTGGAGATCCATCTCAAGGGCAGCGTGAGATTCCAGGGGCGTATCTACCCAGCAGGCAGCAAGCTGAATGCCGTCCTTTCTCCCTACGAAGCCATCCAGCTCCAGAGCCGCCAAGACCTCTCTGGCACCCTTGTAAGATCAGCACGGCCAGTGGCTGTGCTAAGTGGGCACACCTGCGCCAATATGAACACCAATTGCAACCATGTGGTGGAGCAGCTTCTGCCAGTGTCTAGCTGGGGCCGGGCCTTCTTTCTCCTCTCACTCTCTTTCCAGACAAAGTACGACCTTGCGTACATAGTGGCGTCCCAGCCCACCACAGTCACCTGTGTCTCTGGTGGGATCCATACGAACTACAACCTTGTGGCTGGGCAGGTGCTTCAGCTGAAAGTCTCACGTTTGGGTCCCATTTACATCACAGCCAATGTGGGCATCCAGGTCTTCTTCTTTTGCACCGGTGGTACCCATTCTGGCCTGACCTTCGACCCCTTCCTCCTTAGTATCCCTGACGTGTTCAGCTACTGCACATCTTACACCCTCGGAGGCCTGGAGAACTTTGACAATTCTGCGTTCATTGTTGCTAAGACCGCTGCTGCTTCTGGGATCACCATGGATGGCCGTGCGTTGAGTGGCACCTCTTGGAGACAGATTCCAGGAACAGAATACTCCTGGAGCGAGTACAGTCTGGGGAAGAAAGAAAGCACCCATTCCATGACACATCCCAGCACCCCCTTTGCCCTGTTAAGTTTTGGCATTGCCAGCAGGAATGCCTATGGTGCAATGGCACTCTGCCATCGTGGTGAGTTGCGGGGCTTGTTAAGGTGGGAGATCAAGGTGCTGAATTTCCATTGAGCAAAGGATGATCAGCATTGCAGGGTCCGAATCCCTGCTCAGCAATGGAACTCAATGCATGATCTTGGGCCAATCTCTCTCTTTCAACGTAACCTATCTCACAGGGCTCTTGGGGAAATAAATTGGGCTTACCTCCTTGTGCATAGCACTGAGATTCTTGGAGAAAGGGTTGGATACAAAGATAGCCTCCAGTTCATGGGGACATAGGAATATAGGACCTGCCTTAGAATCATAGATTTGTAGAGCTGGAAGTGTCACCTAGTCCAACCCCCTGCAATGCAGGGATCTCAACTAGGGCATGCATGACAGATGGCCATCCAACCTCTGTTTAAAAACCTTGCATGTTGGAGAGGTCACCACCTTCCAAAGCAGTCTGTTCATTATACTGAGTCAGACCACTGGTCTACCTAGCTCAGTATTGTCAACACTGATGGGCAGTGGATCATCTGCCATAGCAGCAGTTTCCCCCCTCCCCCCACCCCAGTCTTACGTAGTCTTTCTGGATTGCCCACATGGCAAGAAGAGAGAGTGTGCAATCAGGACTGAGTAGCTGACGGTCTTAGTCATATACAACTCTCTCATGGCTTTTCTGCCTGGAAACACATGGGAGGGACCTCTTGCCACAGCAACACATTTGGACTGGGATTGGCTGAGTGGAGCAGAGCGCTGGCCAGATAAGAGAAGATGGACAGAAATGTCACCAGGAGCTTCTCTAAATTCAAATGTTAGTAGAAAATGTGTGCAAGGCAGGAAAGCATGTGTAGCTTTGAGATTTTGGGGGGAAATCCTTAAAAAAAAATTCATTGAAATTCTCCTTGGGAGGTCTTTGCCCTATAGCCTCAAGTGCAAGAGCCTTTGCTGTGTGCAGTGCCTATATAGCTGTGCATGCCTAGGTAGGCAGCCCTTTGCAGATGTTGCCTTGAGCATGTGCACATCTAGAGGATTTAGTTAGCAGCATGCATGATGTTGAGGGCCTGAAACATTGGCATGGACCCACCAACCTTCATCTCCAAGTTTTTGGCGTGTATATGGAGAAGGTCAGACAATGGGAGGATAGCTTAAGTATTGCTATGAGAACTTTATCATTTAACTTGTTGGATGTGTTGGGCTATACAGGGGAAACGTTGGCTTCCTCCATCCCTCAATCTATTGCTCTGATTGTGTCGAAGGCCACCCATTCGACCTCTCCTCTCTCTCTCTTCTTGTGCCCATTCTCTTCCTCTCTTCCCCACTGTTATACTAACCCCTCCTCTTTTCTCACCAGCCTCTCAGCCTGTCCCCCAACCATCCTGCAGTTCCACCAAGTGCCGGAAGAAGGAGACTTGCCAGATCAGGAAGGGCCAGCCTGTATGTGTGGCACAGTCTACTGCCACCTGCTGGTCTCTGGGTGACCCCCATTACCGTACTTTTGACAAGCAGAAATACAACTTCATGGGCACCTGCACCTACACGCTGGCCAAGACCTGTGGATCGGACACCACACTCCCAGCTTTCCACATCACAGCCAAAAATGAGAACCAAGGCAAACGGAGCGTCTCCTTCATAGGGTTTGTGACAGTCCAGGTCTATGGATACCACATAAGTGTGGCCAGAAAGGAGTATGGCATAGTCAGGGTAAGAACAATAGCATTCCTTTGTCTTAACTGCATGAACCAGGGCCCATATCAGGCTAGGGATGAATGGGTCAGTCAACTTCCATTCTGTGTCACTTTTGCATGTGCTAATTACACTGAGGACTGATCATCCTATTAGGACTATCCCTCCTGATATTTCTGAATGGGCATGTGTAGTTCAATTTTAAATAGCTTATTGTGGCACACCATGACTTGGATTGCATATGTTGGGTGCCACATTGGGTGTAGCTAGTCCTGTTTCACAGCAGGTAGTTGGAACAACTCCCAACTCTATCACCCTACACTAGGGGCTTCCATAATGCATATCTAACAGTAACATATTCTGTACCAGGTGAATAACCAACGCTCCCAGCTGCCCATCTCCCTGCAAGAGGGGAAGCTGCGTCTATACCAGAGCGGGACCTCTGTCTTCATCGAGACTGACTTCTCACTGAAGGTTTCCTATGACTGGAACAACCGCCTCTGGGTGAAGATTCCCAGCAGCTTCTTTGAGAACGTTTGCGGCTTGTGTGGTAACTACAATGGTGACCCTACTGATGACTTCAAGACCTCGGCTGGGTCCTTGGCCCCCAGCCCTGTGGAGTTTGGGAAGAGCTGGAAAGTGGAAGATGGCAACAAGCTCTGCTGGGATGACTGCCATGGAGAATGCAAAAAGGTCACCTTGGAGGTGCTCATCAAATACAAAGTGGAGACTTTCTGTGGCTGGATCAGCAAACGGGAGGGCGGCCCGTTCAGCCAATGCCACTCTGTCGTTGACCCTGAAATCTTTGTGGAAAACTGTGCCTATGACCTCTATATCTATGAAGGCCACCGAGAGACTTTGTGCCAAGCACTGCAGAGCTATGCTGATGCCTGCCAGAGGGAAGGCGTAACCCTGTTGGACTGGAGAAGACTCACGGGCTGCTGTGAGTAGAATTAATTGCTTATGACAGGGGTCCCCAAGCTCCTTTGGGCCCAGGATCACATTTGGAAATATAAGAAACTGTTGTGGGCAACGCAAATTGCCCATTTCCCAGAAGAAAAATTGGTGGTGCTCATAATGCTTTCCTTCCCAAAAATTCAAAACACTTATACATTGCTCAAAACAAATAAAACACAGGAGGCAACTGTATTAAGTCACACTGTAAATTAAATAACAAACAATTTGCCTCTATTTCACAACACCCAGCCTCAGCAGCTTGGGGCATCCATCTCAATCTACCTAAAGGCTGTCTTACCATTGGTGCTGGGAGTAATGGGTGTGCAATCTCTCTGATAATAAATCCCAATGAAAAAGAAAGGGATTGTGGATAATTGTGCCCTCATTCTTCTCTGTCTCTCTCTTTTGCAGTGCTCTCCTGCCCTGAGAACAGCCAGTACAAGCTCTGCGGCTCAGCCTGCCCAGCCACTTGCAACGACCAAGCTCTTCCTTCCAACTGCTCTTCATCACGCTGCATGGAAACTTGTCAGTGCAATGAGGGTTTTGTGCTAGAAGCTGGGAAGTGTATCCCCAAGGCAGCTTGCGGTTGTGCCTTCGAAGGGAAGCTCTTTTCTCCCGGCGAGCAGTTCTGGGGAGACAGCACATGCACAAAGCGCTGCATCTGTGACCCGCAGAGCAAGCAGATGAAATGCCAGCCTGCCAGCTGCAAGGCTGGAGAGCAGTGCAGGGTGGAGAATGGCCTCCAGAACTGCTACCCAACTGGCTATGCCACCTGCTCTGCAGCCGGTTACTCTCATTACCACGGTTTTGACGGTCAGAGTTTTAACTTCCAGGGCACCTGCCTCTACACATTTGCAGGACTCAGCAAGAAGCGCAACGACTTGGTGGATTTCCAAGTCTTAGTCCAGAACTCGGGCCAGGGCAGCTGGTCTACATCCCTCAACAAACTGGTCAAGGTTCAAGTCTATGGCCTGGAGATAACAGTCAGCTGGGCTCATCATGGAAGAGTTCTGGTGAGTCTAAATGAGGCCTCCTTTGGGGAGCGAGTCTGTTAAAATCCTGCACACATCTATGGAGCACATATGTGCGTGCCCCGTCCCCATTCCACCCTGTTCCACCCTCTGTTCCACCCTCGTTCTGCCTTCTTCTGGGTCCAAAAGAACCCACATGTCAGCAATCGCACGTAAATTGTACACACCAAAAATGTCTTTGCTAAGCCATCGTTTGGCATAGCTCAAAGCCATAGCACCAGATTTTGAGCATGATCTTCCCCACTTACCCTTCCCACTTTATCTCCCCTCTCAGGTGAATGGTTTGCTGACCAACCTGCCCTACAGGATGGGCCTGGACCAAGTCCTCATCTATCAGAAGGGCTGGGATGTTGTGACCCAAACAGATTTCGGCCTCACCATCAACTTTGACTGGCAAAGCCGCCTCACGGTCACTGTGCCAAAGTCCTACGAAGGGGCCCTTGGCGGTCTCTGTGGCAACTTCAACAGCAACAAACAAGATGACTTGGCACCCAGTGATGCAGCCTCAGGTTCGACAGCCTTGGGACGGCGCTGGAAGGTGGCCGAGTCCCTTGGATGCAGAGAAGTGAGCCCCAGGGTGTGTCCAGACTTGGAAAACATTGCCCAGCGCCAGCGAGGTGTCAGTGCAGAATGTGGACTCCTGGTGGACAAGAGGGGCCCGTTTAGGGAGTGCCATGGCAGAATTGACCCTGAGGTGTTTTTCCTGGACTGTGTTTTTGACTACTGCACCTTTAATGGTCAGAAGGCTGTGCTGGGCCATGTCATTGCTGCTTACACTGCAGCCTGCCAAGCCATACAGGTGACCATATATATCTGGAGGATCCACATATTCTGGAGTAAGTATGATCCAGTTTGCTCCAGTTGCAAAGAGGGTGGAGCTCCCTAGGGCAGTTTTTTTTTTAAGCTTGGGCCCCTCAATATTGCTGGATTGTGTAGAATGGAGTTAGTTTAGAAGGTGCAAGGCAAGTTATATGGCATAAAGGATAGGAGTGATAAAGATTTGATCCAGTTCTCATCAGACGGCGAAATTACACAATTCACGCTTTCCAAAGCAATGGGTGAACCAAAAGGCAGCCACCCCTCAAAATCTACACTTTTCCAAATTCCACAATGCATTTCTCCAGCCAAGTAATGTGCTCCAAAAATGCATATATTAGGTAGGGTAAAGGATAACAAATGAATATATCAATGACAATAACACAGGGGGAAAAGATGCTATAAAAGGGAAAGTTGCGTTAAAATATATAAGGAGAAAATTGCTCTAAAATGCTGAAGAATGTTTATGGGAACATTTGGGCATTGTTTTCTAAGGGGGGGGAGGTGCAAACTGATGTGGAAATATGGAGAACTGGGTTTAACATTGAGAAACCAGAACTAGCAGATTTCCCTGTCCCTACACATTGCTCTTTCCTCCCATGTCTCATTCCTCTCCACCTCCCAGCATCTGCCTGCTGAGGCGGCCCTCAGCCCTGGTTCCAACCCTTCCATTTCCTCTTCACTCTCCCACAGTTTTCCACATCTGCAACAGGCAGCCAATAATCTGTGGCCCCCTGAGCATGCTATGTCTCCATTGGGCTGTTTAGGGCAGGTGGGTTGCCCCTTAAGGTTCTCCTGAGCCTGCTGACATCTCCCTTTCCTGTATGGGGGGGTGATGCAGCTTTGGCTACATAAGCAACAGCACTCACATCCCGAACATTGGAAACAGGGGAAGCAATGCTGTCACAACAACCTGGGTTTATGTTAGTTCTCCGGTGTAGTAACGGAAATAGAAGAGTTCGTTATATTGATGGGAAATGCATTTTCTAACCCTCCCATTCCAGAGCCGGTCTGTCCCCGAAACAGCCACTATGAGCTCTGTGGCAGGAGCTGCCAACAGACCTGCAGCAGCCTCTACTCCCCTCTGCCTTGCTCAGCACACTGTGCAGAAGGCTGTGTCTGTGATGAAGGCTTTGTGCTCAGCGGCGACCGCTGCGTCCCCATGTCTCAGTGTGGCTGCGTCTACCAGGAGCGGTACTATACAGCTGGGCAAACCTTCTACCCAACCAGCAAGTGCAATGTGGAGTGTGTGTGCCAGGCTGGTGGAGCGGTTGCCTGCAAGGAAACCTCTTGTGGCCCTGGTGAGGAGTGTAGGGCAGTGGACGGCGTCCATAAATGCCACCCCGTTGGCTCAGCCACTTGCTCAGTCTCTGGCGATCCCCATTACATCTCCTTCGATGGAGTACGCTTCAACTTCCAGGGCACCTGCACCTATGTCCTTGCTAAGGCTGCCATCACAGACAAGAAGAACTTGAAGGCTTTCACCATCACTGAAGAAAATGAGGCCTGGGGGAGCAGAAAAGTCTCGGTCACCAAGATGGTCTCTGTGGAAGTCTATGGCACCACACTTACTTTGATCCAGAACAAGAAGGGACAGATCAAGGTAGGTGTTTGCATGCTGCCCATGCTCTTATCCAAGAAGCTCTGGGCAGTGCACATACGTCTCCATTTTAACTCCAAGGGTCTTCTTCTTTGGCAATCACACGTAACTAAGTAAGGTTGTCTTCCATAAACACGGTTTTAACAATGAGTCCGTAAGTGACTGTGGAGGCCAATACTGGATCCACACATCATTCCACAGTGGGGACATTGGTTTCCGGGCAGGAGTTGATGACGGTGAGGGTTTGCCAACTGTGCCTTCCTCGTACCACGTTTCTCCCTTTCATCCTGAGTTCAAGTGTCTTCAAAGTCCATGGCACCTTTGGTAAAGGCTGTTCTCCAATTGGAGAGCTCGCAGGCCAGTGTGTCCCAGTTGTTGGTGTTTATACTACATTTGTTTAGATTTGCCAAACTCCAAGGGTGGGGATGCCTAATTAGGCAGACCAGGATGTTTTGGCCAATCACATTCACCTGCTCGTTACATTCACCCAGGGCTTTTTTCCTGCTGGAACTTGCTGGAACTCAGTTCTGACACCTCTCAGGTGGGCACCATTGCTATTATAAGAGAACAAGGGAGATATTCATGGTGAGTTCCGGCACCTCTTTTTCTAAAAAAAATAGCACTGCCTATACCTGATGTATTTGTCCAGACAGTGCACATCGGATGGAGTTTGCCATCTACAGTTCATTTTATACAGCTAATTACAAGGAATTATATCTAACACTCACACACATGCGTATGTTTAAAATTAGGGTCACAACTATCTTCTCTGAATTTTTAATTGTGTCATTTTCGGTTTCACTTGGCAATTTTATCTCCTCGGTGGTGCTAACATATATTTGCACTTTTGTACACAAAGTGCAATGGCCAGGAGCTCATGCAAACATAGCTAACTGTATATATTATCTCCTGCACATCTTAAGTCAATTAAACATTAATAAAGCTATTGCTTAAGCCAATGAAAAGTTACAGCCCTATCATTTCAATGAAAAATTCAGCTGCTACGTTTGAACATGAGATCTACTTCACTGAATAAATCCAGACTTGGGAGAGAAAGACCAGTGCTTTAATCATGGCTCTAGTTCTACATTAGCATATCCCAAGAAGACCACAGATGCATTTGACCTTGCTTAGGCCAAAGGAAGCTGCCTTATACTGAGTAAAACTTTTGGTCCATCCAGCTCAGTATTATTTGTGACATTTGGTAGTTAGCCGTGACTCCCGCTAATTGATTTACGAACCTCGATTAGCGATATATGGCCGCCCGGCACACTTCCGCAGCGCCTCTCCGTCACGGCTCAGCAGAGTTTCCGCACAGCGGTGTAGAACTGTCACGTTGCTTGGTTCAGCTTCCAGACAAACACACAGAGTCCAGTTTGTCTATTTACAGCTTTTATTCCAACATTTCTCAGGAATTACCAGGACTATTTGCAGCCATGCCAGACCTGCGTCTTTTCCCCACGGAACACAGAGTGGGACTGACTAACTCCTCCCAAACTCCTCCCAACTTCGAAAACTGACGTCAGAATGGTGTGGCACCATGGGAAAAACTTAACCTGTTAAGTTCCAATCCCAACATTATTTGCTCTGCAATGACATGGAGCAGCTATCCAGCATTTCAGAAAGGTTGTTTCTCCCTGCTCTACCTGGAGATGCTGGGGAATGAACCTGGGACCTTTTGCACGCAAATCATGGACACTACCACTAAGCTGTGGTCCTGTAGTTTTTGTGCTGAAGGGGTTGCACTACTTAAAAATAACCAGTGATGAGTTTCTTAAGCACAAGAGCCACCAATTCAGCAACTCCGAGATGGGGCTGCTATAATACAATATGTCTTCCTTAGTGTCCAGGAAGTATGACTTTCTGCCAGGTTCCAATAATACAATTTGCACACTAGATTTGCATGTGAATGGATCCTTGTGAGTGGATATGTTTACATATATCTATACACAAGAATCTGCTTTCCAACAGATCTTAAAGATAACTTTGCTCATGAGCTTGTTACATGTTGAACCATTCACAAGGTGCCCCTGTGCATATCAACTTGGGTGGAGTTCAACAATACTTGTGAGAGAAGGGCCTATTGCTGGAGGGTCAAAGATCCCTGAGACCAGTTTTGTGTCCTTTGAACATCTGCCCTTAGAGTCAGCATGTCCCCTTCTTCCAGGTGAACGGAGTGTTTCATTCCCTACCTGTTGAATTTTCTGGTGGACATCTCAGAGCTTATCAGCATGGCACTAAAGTCCTGATAGAAACCGACTTTGGTCTCATTGTGAGCTATGACCTGGTTTACCGTGTGACAATCACCGTCCCAGGAAGCTACCGGAACCAAATGCAAGGCCTGTGTGGGAACTACAACGGGAAGAAGGAAGACGACTTCCTGCTCCCTGATGGCAAGACAACCTCTGATGTAGCTAAATTTGGTGCTGCCTGGAAGGTTCCAGTCCCTGGGGCAGTTGGACCTTGCTCAGATGGATGCTCTGGGAGCAGCTGCCCAGTCTGCGAGAAAAAGAAGGAGGAGGTTTTCAAGCAGCGCCATTACTGCGGGATCCTCACTGCGCCTGATGGCCCCTTCAGTGCTTGCCATGCAAAGGTGGACCCCAGTGTGTACTTCAGCGACTGCATCTATGATGTGTGCCTGGGCAATGGGGACAGCGAGGCCTTGTGTCAGAATATCCAGAGCTACACGTCTGCCTGCCAAGAAGCTGGGATCCCCGTCCAGACCTGGAGGAGTCCATCCTTCTGCCGTGAGTACTGAGAACTATGGGTAGTATTATTATAATAAATATCTTTTTTTAAAAAAAAATATGTCATGTACCATGTACTCTCTCTGTTGCAGCTCTCAGCTGCCCTCCAAACAGCCAGTATTCACTCTGTGCTGATCTCTGCTCCACTCACTGTGCTGGGATCACCGACTCCAGAATATGCCCCGGGACGTGCGCAGAGGGCTGCCAGTGTGATGACGGGTTCTTCTTTGATGGCCTCGGCTGTGTCACAGTGGAGACCTGCGGGTGCAATGACAATGGAACATATTATAAGGTGCTTTCCCCTAAAGGAGATAGTGTTGCATTGCTTTGAACAAGTGCAAGGTAGGAAGTTCCCTCTTCAGCTATTTAAAGGGCTATTAAACCAGGAGTGGAGAACCTTAGCACTAGGGGCTAAAGCCCTCCAGGCTTCTCTATCTGCCCCTCTGGACTATATCCAGGACACGCCCCTCTCCTCAGGCCACACCCCCTCACTGGCCCTGCTTCACGCCTTCCTTGAGTGTTTTTACCTGGCTAGAATGTGTCCTTGAACTCATAATGCCTCTTTCTAGTCTGGATGTAGGATAGAGAGGAATGTGTGGGTGTGGGTGGGAACTAGACTACTGTACAAAGGTGAAATTAGTTTATATTTAAATTCCACCCACTTTTACCCTGGCCCCGCCCACCTCTGGCATGTGACCCTCAGAACATTGCCCAGAAGGGAATGTGGCCCTGATGAGCCACATTTATTTTCTGTTGTTCCGGAGGGCAGAACAGAATCAAATTCCGAGAAAAAAAATGATGTAACCTAAACATTTGGAAGAACATGATGATGGCATGAAGGTGGTGGTTGCTCCTTCATTAGAGGTTTTTAAGCAGAGTCTGGATGGCCACCTATCAGGGATGCTGTTGGCAGTGAGTTGAACTAGGTGACCTATGAGGTTGCTTCCAGTTGTATGACTGAGCCTATCCCAGTTTTGTATTCTTCATGCAGTGGCTATCCAAGGTCTTGCATCACACAAGCACCAGGGATTGTCAAACAGTAAACAGAACTCAGTAGTAGTAATAGTAATAGTAATAATAATAATAATAGTTTATTTATACCCCGCCCATCTGGCTGGGTTTCCCCAGCCACTCTAGGCAGCTCACAACAGAATATTAAAAATATGACAAAACATCAAACATTAAAAATTTCCCAATACAAGGCTGCCTTCCGGTGTCTTCTAAAAGTTAGATAGTTGTTTATTTCCTTGACATTTGATGGGAGGGCGTTCCACAGGGCAGGTGCTACTACCAAGGAGGCCCTCTGCCTGGTCCCTGTAACATCACTTCTCGCAGAGAGGGAACTGCCAGAAGGCCCTCGGAGCTGGACCTTGGTGTCTGGGCTGAATGATGAGGGTGGAGACGCTCCTTCTGGTATACTGGGCCGAGGCCATTTAGTAGTTGGCCAGATATTATCTTATCTTCCAGAAGAAGGTAGACTCTAAGCTGCAAATGGCCACATTGGCACTGAGATTGGGAAAATAGCACCCCTTTAGGACTGCTACTATTGTCTTGCAGGTTCCACTCATGGGTGGTTCATTTCTCCTCCACCACCACTGAATCTCTGGCCCAAAGTCACCCAATGAGCTTATGACCAAGTGGAGGTTTGAACCCTGGTCTCCCAGGTCCTGGCCAAACACTCTAACCACTATAATAATAATAATAATAATAATAATAATAATAATAATAATAATAATTTATTATTTGTACCCCGCCCATCTGGCTGGGTTTCCCCAGCCACTCTGGGCGGCTTCCATAGAAACCAAAAACCCCACTAAAATATCATACATTAAAAACTTCCCTGAACAGGGCTGCCTTAAGATGTCTTCTGAATGTCAAATAATAATAATATACCACACTAGCAGATTGTACCCATGATATATCCATATATGGGAGCCTAGATTCTTGAGTTCTCTTTCTAGAATGATCCGGAAGAGGGGGAAGCGATATCGCAGGTAGAGCACATATGGTTTGGGAACCTGTTCCTCATTCTAGCCTTCACATAACTGAAATATGTGCTTACCAGTAAAGGCTATGGTGGCTGGTCATTTAATGGTTTGCTTTCCCCTTGGCAAATGCCCCGGCAGCCCCATGAGAAGGTCATGCTGAATGAATGCCAACAAATCTGCAGCTGCGTCCCAGGCCGGGGAGTCACCTGCGAGTCACACAGCTGCTCCAGCGATGAGGTCTGTGAGGTCCAGGATGGGGTCATGAGCTGCGTCAATAAAGGTGAGAGACTGGATGCATTTTCAGAAGGACAATTTGAGGACCTGGCTGACCCAGGTCTCAACTAGGGATGGGGTGGGGGGTGTCAATTTAGTTTGCATTCCAAGATGAAACTACTTAATCGACACTTCCTGAAACAATATGCAAACTGAAACAAAGCCATCCTTTCGTGTCCAGTCTTCTCTGAATTTTGCAATGCAGTCCTCCAGGGAAGCCAATGTCAGCTTAGAAGTATGCCACTTTTCCACAATTGTGCCCAAAATGGTCCAAAATGAACAACACTAAATATAACCATTAAAAATAAGCATATTAAGAACAATTAAAAATGGTCATAATATCAAGAAGCACAGAGAATGAGTGAATAATAATAATAATATAAATTATGTGCAATGGAAAGATGTTATTGTAGATTTACAGCTTGAATCTAGAAATGTGTTTGGAATGCATACAAATAGGTAAAATGTATGTAAAATGCATGTATAGTAGTGCAGAAATATTACACGGCGTGCAAAAATAGTAGGGGAAATTACTTGCAAAATTGTGCATATTAAACAAACTTGCATAAATAGGTACATACTGGGGGAAATATACACTAGCATGCTGGTTTCACGAGCGCTTCTTAAGAAAAATCATAAACTGATGTGGAAAACAATTTAAGATTGGAAATACAGTGGTACCTTGGGTTAAGTACTTAATTCATTCCGGAGGTCCGTTCTTAACCTGAAACTGTTCTTAACCTAAAGCACCACTTTAGCTAATGGGGCCTCCTGCTGCTGCTGCGCCGCTGGAGCCCAATTTCTGTTCTTATCCTGAAGCAAAGTTCTTAACCTGAAGCACTATTTCTGGGTTAGCGGAGTCTGTAACCTGAAGCGTATGTAACCTGAAGCGTATGTAACCTGAGGTACCACTGTATGAGAAACTGAGAAAAGCTGAAATTGACAGATCTGCCCCTCCCTAGTCTCAGCTCCCAACAGGACTGCTGCATGCAGAGTAATAAATGTAGCACATGGCATGATGAAGGCTGTGGTGATGCACACACTGAGCATCCATTGGGGAGTTGCCATTGAATGCATACCTTAATGTGTTCTGGGATTGCGTGTCTGTCTTTCACATGTTTATGCCCATAGGGCACTGTTGTACATGGATTGCCTTTCAGAACATCTGGCTCTGATCATAGAAATTCTGGTTAACTTCTGGAGCAGTCCCAAAACACAACCATCTGTACACATAGACTCACAAGTCATTGAAATGGATCTGGGCTGTCACCATAGGGCGTCATGTATTCAGCGACCATGCGGTGATGTACACCTCTTTTGCCAAAGGCTTCCCATGTGGGACCTCTGCTTCTGCATCAAGCCCACAATGGTTCTTTTCTTTCATTTTAGATCCTTGCAAAGCCTTAAAGTGCCGGACCAAGGAGACGTGCAAGATGGAGGATGGCAGAGCAACATGCGTCCCGAATTACAACGAGACCTGCTGGGGCTGGGGAGACCCGCACTACCACACTTTCGACGGGAAGGACTTTGACTTCCAGGGCACCTGCACCTACACAATTGCCAAGTATTGCAGCAATGACACCACCTTGGTGCCGTTCACGGTGGAGGCAAAGAATGATCACCGGGGGAGCCAGACCATGTCCTATGTGAGACAGGCCAATATCTATGTTTATGGGCACAGCATCTCCATCCGCAGGAAGGAAGCAGGCAGAATCCGGGTGAGTCTTTGCAGCGGTGTCTTAGAATTACAGAACTGTGGAGTTGAGAAGGATCCCAAGGGGAATCTACATACATCAGGACATGCTACAGAGGAGGAAAGTCCTCTCGGGTGTTCCTGATGAGACAGATGTGATCCTGCAGGCCTATCCATTGGGCCCTCGGGACTCTCCCCAGAACATACACTTTCCCGGCGACACTTCCTTTTCCTTAGGCACACACACTAGCGTGGAAATTTTGGGGCATGAAATTATGCTGGGAAAATGAGAAACGGGGAGAAACAAAAAACCGTCATGTTTGCCCAACCCTAGCGTGGAAAAAGAAATGCTATATTCACTGAATTTTACATGAATGTATGAATGAATAAACTTCATTTCTTAAAGTCATAGAACATCATAATATAGATACAGCAAACAATCATTTTGACATATTAAATAAACAAATGCAAATGCAAAAAAAATCCTCGATTATTATTCAGTGCTTTGTTTTCTGAGCTACTCAAGGGTATGCAGTATCGGCAGCTTCCCCCCTCCCAAATGTTAAAATGTACTTACTGTAAGAACTATATGGTGAGTACCGGCAACTTAAAAACAAACAGACCAACAAACCTTTGTTGTTGTTGTTGTTACCTTTATTTAGTTATCACATTTATTTCCCTGGTCTCCCAGGTCCTAGATAGTGACTATTTTTGCCTACAAACAGGGTACATATCTGGTCCAGGAGGAATGTTTTTGACAGGGACTGGAGAACAGTTAAGGGATGTGTGTGCCAAGGATGCTCATGTAAAGGGTAGTTTTGCAGGCAGTGGGAGGCAGTGTCAACGTCCTAAACTGGCAATCGAGGGCGCTATTTCAGAAACTAGTGTACTGACGACTTTCTCTCCCCTGCCTCCAGCTGAACGGTATCATCACAAGCCTGCCTGTAACTTTGGAGGATGGGAAGCTGTGGCTCTTCCAGAGTGGCTTAAACGCTGTGCTGCAAACCAACTTTGGCCTGGTGGTGACTTTCGACTGGAGCATGATCCTGGAGGTGACTTTGCCCAGCAGCTACTACGGCACCATCTGCGGCCTCTGCGGGAATTTCAACCAAAACCCAGAAGACGAGATGGTGACGCCCACAGGCCACAAGCCTGCTTCTGAGGTGGAGTGGGCTAAGAGCTGGAAGGTGAACGACCGCGACCCTTTCTGCTGGGACGTCTGCGATGGGAACTGCCCGACGTGTGAAGAGAGCCAACAGCAGCTCTTTGGAAGCGAGGAGTTCTGCGGGCTTCTCACCCAGCTGGGAGAGGGACCCTTCCGCGAATGCCATGACAAGCTGAGCCCCGACAACTTCTTTGACAGCTGCCTCTATGACGTCTGCCTCAACCACGGGGCCAAAAACATCCTGTGCAAAGCGCTGGAAGCTTATGCTACTGACTGTCGCAAGGAAGGCGTGGTCATCCACGAATGGAGAGCATGGAGCGGCTGCGGTGAGAATGAGTCAGGGAGGGAAGCAGCTCCCCTGCATTGTGCTCCCAGTCCTCAAATGCTGATCCCCAACAAAGTTTCATTGGTTCGGTTTGCTAAGCTAAACCATGGCTAAGCATGAAAGAACAAACGTGCAGGCTTGCAGAGTGTGTGTTGGGGGGGAATCATGGCTGCTATGTTCCCCGCACAGCCCTGCAGCTGCTGCCATGCTGCCCAAGGCTCAGCCATGGTTTGGTTTAGTGCTAAGTCTGAATAATAATAATAATAATAATAATAATAATAATAATAATAATATATTATTATTATTATTATTTATACCCTGCCCCTCTGGCTGGGTTTCCCCAGCCACTCTGGGCGGCTTCCAACAGAATATTAAAATACAATAGTCTATTAAACATTAAAAACTAACTCAAAATTTGAAGATTGACATCTGAAGGGTCATTTTGTTCTGCTCTGCATGTAGTTATGGCAGGAGTGGACCAGGTCAGTTTCCAAAGAAGTCGCAGAAATTGAATCTCTGGAGCATCACTGCTTGCCCCATGATGTAACTTATATGTGTTTATTAATTACAATCATTCATATACTGCCTTTCTAGAGACAAATCCTTCTAAGACGGCTTGCAGGCAACATTAATTTAAAAAATATATATATTCAGAAACGCAAACAATATCAACGTATTAAAAAGTCACCAGCATCCTTTCCAAAGGATAGTGGCTGGCAGATGGCCCTATAGTGGGTGGGGGAAAGGACAGTCTAGCCAGAAGTCATATGTACCTTCCCTTTTTTTGCTCCTGAAATTCTTCCCACAGGACCTATAGTGAATGCCATGGTGGGGCAGTGGCACTCCCTTGACCTCCGGTTGGTTGCATCAATGCTGCTTACCAGGAGGATGAGGGCAAGAATGGAGGTGGTGAGGTCAGTGCAGTGCAAAACTAAAATAAAATTGCACCACGGTGATTTCACTCCCCAGCCTCAACCTCCTAGGGAACAGCAGTGATGAAACTGACTAGAGGTCTGGTGTGCACCGCAGCCACCACACCATCCACTACTGCAGAAGACAGCTTGCCCTCTGGGGTGGAAGAGGTAGAGCAAGAACTGAGATGGCCTTTGCTTGCTTCCCCCTCTCTCCTCCAGTCCTTCCAACAGAGCAGTTTATGACAGGTGGTTTTGTGGAAGTGTGCGGAGGGCGGAGGGGGTAGTCTACCTGGAGCAGGCCCTGGGGTGTCTTTGCTTGCCTCCTTGTCTCATGTAATCCTTCCCACTTGATCGTGGATGACAGAACCTGTGCAGGTAGGGAGAGGATAGACTTGCTGAAGCAGACCCTGAGGTGGTCTTTGTCTGTCCTCTCTCTCCTATCCCTAGTGTCAGGCTTCGAAGAAATGGCTTCCTCCCTGCCACCCTTTGGCCGTGCATCGGCAGAAGAAAGCAATTAGAGTCCCTTACCAGTTTGAGGTGATGTGGGTGGCGCTGTAGTCTAAACCACAGAGCCTAGGGCTTGCCGATCAGAAGGTCGGCGGTTCGAATCCCTGCAACGGGGTGAGCTCCCGTTGCTTGGTCCCTGCTCCTTCCAACCTAGCAGTTCAAAAGCACATCAAAGTGCAAGTAGATAAATAGGTACCACTCCAGCGGGAAGGTAAATGACTTTTCTGTGCGCTGCTCTGGTTCGCCAGAAGTGGCTTAGTTATGCTGGCCACATGACCTGGAAGCTGTACACCGGCTCCCTTGGCCAATAAAGCAAGATGAGCGCCACAACCCCAGAGTCGGCCACGACTGGACCTAATGGTCAGGGGTCCCATTACCTTTGCCTTTACCAGTTTAAGATTGTTTTAATGATCACAGCAAAAGAACAACGCCGCCATTCTCGGAGTAAAGGTGCTCCCAATTAAGCTTCCCTCCTACTTCCCCCCAAGTTATCTCTATCACTTTCCCCTTCTGGCAACCTGATCTCACAACCACTGAGCCTTCTGCATAGCAACCTTATCAGCTCTCCTTGCCCTTGGAGATAAAGGTTGGACACTTTCTAGCGAAGGGGAGTCAGTTATCCCTCTCTCCTAGCTGTGCCCCACTCAGCTCTGCCCAGCTGTTGTTCTCCGAACTATGTCCCTCTGCAAACCAATTCTCTAAATCTATACTGCTCCACTGTTCCTGGGGAGCTTCTGTCAGGAGCAGCAAGAGGGGAAGGTTCCCACCATTCCTCATCAGAGCTGTAATCCTCAGTCTGGTCTCTGACACCTAGGTTAGTCAGTGGTAGATGGCCATGAGGTGGCGGTGCTGGTACTTGATCTCTCCTTTTGTTGCAAAGTCTTTGTTGCTTTGCCCTCTTTCAGCTTTGTCGTGCCCTGAGAATAGCCACTATGAGGCCTGTGGAAACGCCTGCCCAGCCAGCTGCTCTGACCGATCTGCTCCTTCGACGTGCGATAAGCCCTGCGTGGAAACCTGCCAGTGTGACCAAGGCTACGTGCTCAGCACTGACAAGTGCGTCCCCGTGAAGAGCTGTGGCTGCACTCACAATGGCCTCTACTACAAGCCAGAGGAGGAGTTCTGGGCCGATGAAACCTGTGGCTCTCGCTGCAGGTGTGATCCCAGCCTGGGCATTGTGGTGTGCAGTCCAGCCAGCTGCAAGGCTAGTGAAAGGTGCATGACAGTGGATGGCATCCGGGGCTGCCACCCCATCAGCTATGCCACTTGCACAGCAACTGGGGACCATCACTACACCACTTTCGATGGGAAGAGATATGACTTTTCAGGCACTTGCATCTATCAGCTGGCTGGGCTCTGCTCCAAGGACCCAACTCTCACTCCGTTCACCATCTCGATCCAGAACAGCCAAGGCAGTAAGACAATGCCTTTCTCTTCTGTGGTTACCTTGGACATTTACAACAGAACCATTATGATCAGCCAGGAGCATCCTCACACAATCAAGGTATTGGGGATATAGGGAGAAAAATGGTATGGGATAGTGCAGGCATGGGGACCCTGTGGCCCTCCAGAAGCCACTGGGCTGCAATTCCTTTAGAAATTGATTTAGGCACTAGGAGAAGATATATTGTTTAGCTACTATCTTTCCTTGCTCACGAGAGGGAGATCAGCAGTGCACTATCCTTTGCAGCTTAAACTTGGAAGCAAAGACAAGGTTGGTTTAACCTCCTCGAAACAATGATCCAGGATGCTTTAAGGCAGACTGGATTTTCCCTGGTATTACCCCTTTTCTCCCCCTGAAAAATAATAATTGCACATAGACATTGTTTTTGTGAAAAAGCAAAAGTAGTATTTATTTACACACGTAATCCAGGTCTTATCGCTTCTCGGCCTTTTGGCTAAGATCAAGTGTAGCACACGTAATCCAGGTCTTAAAGCAGCAGCTACAGTAGCAAAGTAAAGGCAGCAATAAACATAGGAAATTGCCTCAAATTAAGTCAGATCAATTGACCCATCTAGCTCAGTACTGTTGATGCTGACTGGCATCAGTGGCCTAGGTTTTCAGAAAAGTTTTCACACTCACCCTGCAAGTTACATGGAGGTGTCAGGGATTGAACCTAGGATCATCTGCATGCAAGACAGATGTTCCACAAAACAGCTAAGGCCCTTCCCCCAAAGCATAGACTGTGACATATTTAGTTCATTTAGAAGCACAGAATTGTAAAGTTGGAAGAGACCACAAGGATCATCTAGTCCAACCCCCTTGCAATCCAGGAATCTTTTATCCAATGTGGGGCTCAAACCCACAACCCTAAGATTAAGAGTCACATTATCTACTGACTGAGCTATCTCTCATGGACAATATTCCTGTATCTAAACCTTAACAACCCTCACAACTCCACACAATTAATCATTGTCTCCCCTATTCTCGAGTCAGCATAAGCAATGATTGTGGTAGTGAGAAGTGAAGCTCAACAACATCTGAAGTGCCATAGGTGCCTCCTTCCCAGCAATAGACCTTTTGGTCAAGTTCTTAATCCACCCTCCTCTATCGCCTTCTTTGGGTTGGCAGGCTATGTTTTGGCACCTTGGCAACATTTTTTCTGTCTCCTCTAGGTGGATGGAGTATTTGTGGATTTGCCCTTCTACCATGAAGATAAGGTGAAGGCCTACATCAGCGGAGCCCATGTCCTTGTAATAACCAACTTTGATCTTACCGTGACCTTTGGCTGGAACAGACTGGTCCACGTCACTGTTCCCAAGAGTTACCGCAATGCGCTTTGTGGCCTCTGTGGCAATGACAACCAGGACTCCAGTGATGATCTGATCATGAAGGGCGGGACCCCAGCAGCCAATGTCAACCAGTTTGCAGAGAGCTGGAAGATAGGCGAGATCCCTGGTTGTGGGAATGGATGCACCAGCAACTGCCCTGTGTGTGAAGAAGCACAGAAACAAGCCTACAAGGAGGACCGGTACTGCGGGATCCTCATCAGAAAGGATGGGCCATTCAAGCAGTGCCACAAAGCTATTGATGCAACAGCCTACTTCGAGGATTGTGTTGTTGATGTCTGCCGATACAAGGGCCACCACGAGACTCTCTGCAGTGCCATCAGTGCTTACGTGACAGCCTGCCAAGCTCAAGGCATCCAGATTGGGCAATGGCGATCAGCCTCCTTCTGCAGTAAGTATTGGGTAGCACTTATCTAAATTGGGCTACAGTGATTTTTAAAATTGCTGCTAGCATGCAGAGTTTCTACTGCAGTGCTTTGATTGTTCTCAAGCTAACTTTATCATGGAGTGTGGTTGTATTTAATGGGGAATCGTGCTTGGAGTAGACCCATTGAAATCAATGGGCTTGTCATATTCAGAGTAGACCCATTGGAATTGATGGGCTTATATAACTAGTTGAGTGGGTTGTATCTAACTTACTCAGAGTAAATCCATTGTAAATAATGGATCTGACTTAGTCAGGTTTGGGTTTATTCAAAGTAGAACTGGCATTGGGTACAACCCATTGATATTATTGAGTTTATTCTGACTTAGTTTGATACCACCTAATATTCTGAAATAGCCTTTAGATGGGTTATTTACATTATTCTAAAATGCAGTTTATACATTTACTAAACTTACATTTGTGGGTGAAACAACCAGTCAAACCATGGTTCCCAGCAACACTAAAGGTAAAGGTAAAGGTACCCCTGCCCGTACGGGCCAGTCTTGACAGACTCTAGGGTTGTGCGCCCATCTCACTCTAGAGGCCGGGGGCCAGCGCTGTCCGGAGACACTTCCGGGTCACGTGGCCAGCGTGACATCGCTGCTCTGGCGAGCCAGAGCCACACACGGAAATGCCGTTTACCTTCCCACTAGCTAAGCGGTCCCTATTTATCTACTTGCACCCGGGAGTGCTTTCGAACTGCTAGGTTGGCAGGCGCTGGGACCGAACGACGGGAGCGCACCCCGCCGCGGGGATTCGAACCACCAACCTTTCGATCGACAAGCCCTAGGCGCTGAGGCTTTTACCCACAGCGCCACCCGCGTCCCAGCAACACTAGGGGTCAGTAATAGATGGAGCAAACATAGAATCATAGAATTGTAGTGAAGGAACCCCAAGGTTCATCTATTCCAAGCCCCTGCAATGCAGGAATAATACACTGCACATACATTTTAGCCTAAAATCAGGCTGGCAAAGTTGGGAAGGGGATTATTAAAATTAAACTAATTCAAATGATTTTGTGTGTGTGCATGACAGAACAGAAAGTCCTGGCTGATTCCACCTGGCTAAGATAAACACCTAGCATTGATATCCCCCACCCCGCCCCATCTTTTCCTCCTCAGCTGTTCATGGTCTCTGATGTTTCCTTTCAGGTCCTTCCTGCCCCCGTAACTCCCGCTATGATCTCTGTGGCAATGGCTGCCCTGTCACCTGCCACGGCCTCTCGGCTCCTGATGGGTGTCAAATGTCCTGCAAAGAGGGCTGCTACTGCGATGCTGGGTTTGTCCTGAGCGGAGACCAGTGTGTCCCTGTCGGGGACTGTGGCTGTGTGTACCAAGGCAGGTACTACAAGAAGGGAGACAGTTTTGTCCCCAGTGCCTCCTGCCACGAAAGATGCCGCTGCGGAGACAACGGAGCTGTGGAGTGTCAGAAGGTCTCCTGTGGGGCCCAAGAGGAGTGCAGGGTGGAGAACGGCATGCAAGGCTGCCATTCCATCAGCTGCGGCAAATGCAGCGTGGCTGGAGGAACCCAGTACCTTACCTTTGATGGACAGACCTTCAACTTCTTCGGCTCCTGCACTTACACCTTGGCCAAAGTCTGCAGCAAGAATCCCGAGCTTGCACACTTTTCGGTGGTGGTGGAGAACGAGGGGTCAGGCGACAGTGAAGTTGTGCCAAAGATGGTTGTTGTCACTGTGCATGGTTACGCCATCAGTCTTGTGAAAGGAATGACCTGGAAGGTTCTGGTAGGTGTCCTGTTCTGTTCATCTGCTAGAAGTTGTCTCCTTCCTGTCCACATATGAACATCACATAGAGACACTATGTGAAAGTCTCCAACTTCCTTGCGGCGCTGTTACCTTTCCACTGGGCACTGCTGATCTTCCATCATTAATTTCCCCCAGATCTGAAAGGTCTGTAGCCAATTCCAAGAAATAGTGGACATAGGGAGCTGTCTTACACTGAGTCAGACCATTGGTCTATTTAGTTCATTATTGTCTACACCAGGCATAGGCAAACTTGGCCCTCCAGATGTTTTGGGACTACAACTCCCATCATCCCTAGCTAACAGGACCCCTAGTGGTCAGGCATGATGGGAACTGTAGTCTCAAACCATCTGGAGGTCCAGGTTTGCCTATGCCTGGTCTACACTGATGGCCAACAGGTCTAAGTCTACCTCGAGATTGAACCTGGGACCTTTTGCATGCAAAGTAGATGCTCTGCCACTGAGCTACTATGGAGAACTTGTATGGAATATCCACCAGGCTGGGCTGTCTCCAGGTTTGAGGGGGGCCTTGAACAAAGTTCCTTCTGGTTGGTCCCCTCCCCTATAGGAAGGAGAAGCAGCAGACAGTATCATCCCAAGCACCATCTGGTGTCTGGTTTTAGCTGCCCTTTAGATTTCCCACAATGCTTCGAAGTGACGCTAAGATGGCAGTTCACACACCCAACTGCTCAGCACTGACTGGTGCACAGGAATGCTTAAAAAAGGTGTCCCAATGCATGCACCAGTAGATCTCATGACCCCAACATCTGCTGGATACTTCAGAGTACTGATGCTGGTCCTGCCACCAACTTAAAAGTTCAGCTTATGATTCTTAACTATTTCTCCAACCAGCATTGCAGGTTACAGCAGGATAAGAGGAAGTGTGAGTGAATCAGGCTTCCCATTTCTGTATTCTTGGTGTATTTTATTTATTTATTTAACAATATACCGCTTAATCAACTAAAACTTCTAAGCGGTTTACGTAATGCAATATAAAATACCGATTCAAATCAAACATTAGAGACAAATGGGCATAAAATGTGTCAACATATAGATAAAATCAGCAATTTGAAAACAGATGTACATTTTAAAAAATGCATGTTTTAAAAATTACATGCCTGGGTAGACTTGGCTAAGCTGTTGATTTATTTAACATGATTTGTGTACTGCTCAGTTATCAGAGCAGTCTGCATCAAACAATGCAAAGCATTCATTGAGACAAAATCAAATGAAATCAAATGTCGACATCAAATTTATCAAGGTACAAACAGAACCAGCAATTTAAAAACAATTACACATTTGCAAAACGACATGCTGCAATGTACAAAGTGGTAACTACTGCTCATGCATCTCCTTATTAGATGTTCAAATTTGTACAAAGATGGAGGCCTGGGGCAGGAAGTTCCCACACTTTGACTGACTCAATCATGCTTCCCTCCCTGCTGTATCATATGAACTTGCACCATTGTCTGTCTTCATTCTAATACAACGGCCTATGTACTTTTCTTTTCTTTTCTCTTCTGTCTGATCTGCATAGGTGGATGGAGAGATGCACGCCCTGCCGCTGGTGATAGACAGGAGAGACGTTTGGGTAAATCAGGAGGGGAAGAATATTGTCCTGCAGACAGATTTTGGCCTAAAGGTCCTCTTTGATTCCTCCCATTACATTCTGGTATCTGTTCCCAGCGTGTACCAAGGTCAGATGTGTGGCCTTTGTGGCAACTTCAACAGTGACAGGAGCGACGAATTCCAACTGCCCAATGAGAAGAGCTCTGGGAACGTGACAGAGTTTGGGGCATCCTGGAAAGTAGAGCTCAATAATGCCGGCTGTTCAGATGGCTGCGGGAAGAAATGCCCCTTGTGTGATGCTGCAGAGACAAAGCCGTACCAGGTCGAGAGCTCTTGTGGGCTGATCAAAGCCACGTCAGGCCCCTTCAGCGAATGCCACTCCCTGGTAAAGCCGACTGAGTACTATAACCGCTGCCTCCATGGCATGTGTGCTGCCCATGGAGCAAAGGACATCCTCTGCCAGAGCCTCCAGGCCTACGTTGCTGTGTGCCAAGCAGCTGGAGCAAACATCAAGGCGTGGAGGACAGCCTCCTTCTGCCGTAAGTGTATATGTGGATCTGCTTCTCCATTGGTGGTCAGCATATACTATAGGCCTACAGCGTTTTATGGTTCCTCAGCTTTTTCTGCAGTTCTGGACCCAAATGTAGGTCCACTCTCTGTTCACGCTCTCTGGGTTTTCCACCTCCCTCCTTCCTGACAGGCAGTGCGGTGCAGTGGTTAGAGCATAGAACTAGGGCTGGAGAGGCACAGGCTCATATCCTAATTCAGCAAAACAAACAAAACTCATGGAACAGCTTTGGGCCAATCACTTTATTTAACCCTTCAACCCCACACACTGCCCTTAGCCTTGTTTCCTGCCCTGTCTCTCTCTAGTGCCTAGAGATGGAGGGGACATTCAATTCAGTTTGCATTTAAAGGCAAAGCTACCTACTTCACACTTTCCATTAACAGTGCACAAACTGAAACAAACTTTGCTCTCCTCTGAATTTTGCTATGCGGTTCTCCAGCCAAGTAATGTGGACAAAAATACACATACTGTGGTTGGGCATGCATTTATTTTATTTTTTTAAAAAATGCATATGGTGGTAAAAATAGCATCTAGAAATGCACCGTATTGTGGGAAATTGCTTTGTGAAAGAAGAAAAAGTAGTGCAGATTTTGGAGAAATTTGCCTTAAAATACTGATGAAATTTAACAAGGACTTTTTAAAAAAGAAAAGAAAAGTTCCAAATTGATATGGAAATGAGCAGAACTGAATTTAATATAGGGGGCGGGAATGACAAATTGAGAGAAATAGATTGGTAGATTTACCCATCCCTACTAGTCTCCAGCTAGCTCAGCCAATGGCAGAGGGGGTTTTCCGCTTCCTCCGTCCTTCACAGACAACATTCTGACAGTTCAGCCAATCACAACCAGCAGCTTCACTCCCACCAAATCCCTTAACATATTACATTTTTAATAATAATAATAATTTTTAAAATTTGTATACTACTCTTCATCCACAGATCTCAGGGCAGTTCACAACATAAAAATACAATACAAAAGGACAAAATACATGATAAAAACAAGAACAAAAAACCCCAAACCAATAACTGCCTCCCCACCACCACCAATGGAGAAGGTAATGGAGGTTGCTCAGTTGCCATTACTCCTTCCATTGAATTGTCCCTTGATATCCTCCTTGCGTGCATGAGAATCAGGGAACTTTTCTTGGCAATCATATCATTGTGTTTCCCTTCTCTCTGCAGCCCTTGCTTGCCCTGCCAACAGTCAATATGAGCTGTGCACCAGGTATTGTGACTTTACATGCGCAGGCCTTTCTGCTCCCACCCTGTGCACCAGGAAATGCTTTGAAGGCTGCCAGTGCATTGCTGGCTTCGTGTCTGATGGGGAAGCCTGCGTGCCGATGGAAAGGTGTGGCTGTGTGCATGATGGGTACTACATCAAGGTTTGTCCAATATATTCCTCTTTCCTTTTTATTTAATAAATTATTTATTTGGTTTTTCAGATTAAAACTTTACAGTCACATGTCTCCGATGGGCAGGCTCTTCCCTGGACTCCAACTCTCAGGGCCCGGACTCTCGGCCTTGCGCCCCTGAGAGCTTGGCGCCCGGGTCCCTGCACCCCTGGCACCTATGGTTAAGACGGTCTTGTGTCCAACATGAAAACAAGATTCCAAGGAATCTCTTGGCCTCCCCTCTTCCCCTTTGCGGGTCCTATTGTTAATCATTTCCTCCTGCATCTTTTATAATAATAAAAAATGTTTATCTCTCCATTAAACTACAAGTGATATTCCAATCCTACTAATGATTTTAACTGTTTAAAATTTACATGACAAAAGCTAGAGCTGTTCAGAAAATCTCTCTCTCTCATCCCACTTTCGCAAAACCATTTTCCCTGTGACAATATTTGGGAAAGGAGGGTTTTCATCTGTTTTGGAAGGAGAGGAAGAAATACCAGGGCATGTCAGAGGGTTGGCTTACCTTTGCCTGTTTTTAGACAAGTTGACCAAAGGCATACCCTCCAAAACTTTGAAGCCCAAATCTGGGATGCCATCTTCCCAGACACTGCCTTCCCAATTTTTATATTGACAGCATGGTGGCCATTTTGGTTTTTTTCACTTCTGGGCATTACGGAATATAGCTAGGTCAAAAGTATCAGCCCAGTTCTAGTCAAAAGTTTGATGACCTTACCTTTTCCTATCAGTTCAAAAGCTGCTATTGATCAGACCAGCGCAAATAATCAACTTGCATGTCTGGGGATTCCCCTGTAGGCTGAAGAAAGTATTGTCTCCAAGGATTGCTCTGAAAAATGCACCTGCCATGCCTCAGGCCGGCTCACCTGTGAAGAATTCACCTGCAAGAAAGGAGAGGCATGTGCCCTCAGGAACAGCGTGCGGGCCTGTGTGAAGCAGGAAGGCCAGTGTACCCTCACCTCAGGAGCCCAGCTCACCACCTTTGACGGTGCCTCGGGGGAAATACTCTACAGCGGTGCCTATGAAGTGGCTTCCCTCTGCAACATCCACGCCCATGCCTGGTTCCGAGTGGTGGTGGATGTCAAGGAGTGCAGTGATGGGGACGTGATGGCTGGGGCTGCAGTCTATGTCTTTTTCCGAGATGCCTTCATTGCCATCAACAAGAACAAGGAGGCTTGGGTAAGAAGCCCTGACTTGATCCTTCTGATCCTGTGGGTTGGTGCCTCCTCTGCCCACAACCCTGGTTTGGAGTTCTGACTCCCAACTCAAAGACTCGTGAGCTAAGTGACCTTGATATGTGCCATGTTCTCTTCCTCTGTCTGTGTGCTCCAGGTGAATGGACAGCCCGTGAAACTCCCAGTGACTGTCTCTGAAGTTGTGTCTGTGAGCTTCTCCCAGGATGTGGTTACAATCAGCCATGGGGCTGGTCTTCAGGTTCTCTATGGACTCAGAGGGGAAGTGACATTGAAGGTCAAAGACAGCCTGGCGGGCAAGCTTTGTGCATCCTGCGGAAACTTCAATGGTGACAGCTCTGATGACCTGATACTACCCAATGGGAAGGTTGTGACGAACATCGCTGAGGTTATTGATGCTTGGAAAGCCAGAGACTTTATTGGCTGGTGAGTCACTTCCCAGTTGTTCCAGTGCTCTGCTTGTTTCCTAATCTAGACATCTCCAGTTTGCTTGGAAATGGCAGACCTGTCATCTAATTGAGAAAGAGTTTTGGTCACAGCTCTTTCCTTCCAACCCCTAACCTCCTTTTCGGGCACAACAGTAACCATGAAAACTAATACTAACATCCAGTTTAATTGCCATGTCTTCTTGTCCCAAAGCATCCTTGGGAATGGTAATTTTGTGAGGGAGCTAACTCTTTGTTAGATTTCTGGAACTGGGATTCCCACTGGGTAATTGGCTAATTAATGATGGCTGAATAGAACTGAAAGTGCCTTTGATGCATTGAGTAGGCTTGCCCTTAGGACAGCCTTCCCTAACCTGGTGCCTCCCAGACATTTTAAACTACAACTCCCATCACCCCTAGCTAGCATCGCCAATAGTCAGAGAATTTGAAAGTTGTAGTCCAAAAATCTCCGGAGCTTGGGGAAGGGCTGCCTTGGGAGCTTGAGAGGCAGGTTCCAAACACTGTCTTTGGCTGACCCACTCCTTGGACTAGCCATCAATGACTAGCCAAATTATGTTTGAAATGGCTAAAAATAGAACAAAAATGCTCCCTCAACCTGCAGTTTTCCAGGCACTGCCATGTGAGCTTAACTGCACCTGGAAACATTCACCCAGGTGTGTTCCTGGTTTTAGACTTGACTGTCAGATCTTGGCTATTAAAGGCTAAACCACGTATGACATGGGAGATCTACAAATGGGCCTCCCACCATTTTTTAATTTGCTTTTTTATATTTTAAAGAAGCCTCTGGTTTTTTTGACACACCCATTTATTTCCTAGTTGGGGCAATCATCTATGCTGCTATTCCTATTCTTAGTTGGGGCAATCATCTATGCTGCTATTAGGCCTGTGGTGAAAAATATATAGGTGCTTTCATGATGTCTGCAGTGTGGGGCAGGAGTAGTGATTTAGATTTGGATTAAATTGTTTAGCAATAAAGAACTAATACCCCATCCTCCCCAGTAGCATTTCCCTAGTCAAAAAATAAATAAAAAATCAACCTTTTTTCATTAAAAAAATTGTCTAGACAAAGGTCTTTCATACCACCCGCTATCTGATCCTTGTCACTGAGGTTGCCAAGGATTGAACCTGAGACCTTCTTGTATGCAAAGCTAGGGCTCTGCCACTAAGCCAGGGGTGGGGAATCAGTGACCATCCAGATGTTAATGACCTCCAACTCCCATCAGCCCCAGACAGCATGGCTAATGGCCAAGGATAATGGAAGCTGATGTCCCGTAACAACTGAAGATCCGCAGTTTCCAAACTCATCCACTAAACCATGGTCCTTCTGTATTGCCTGCTGAGTACCTCAGATTTTTGGATCACAAATACCAGCTAATAGCACAATCCTAGTCATGTCTGCTCAGACGCAAGTCTCAATGGGGCTTAATTTCGGGTAAGTGGTTATAGGACTACAGCCTAATTCTTTTTTGTTGCAGTGAGCAATAGTTGAAAGTGATCATCAAGACTGGCACCTGCCTGCTGCACCAGTGATAGTTGCCTGCAGCTGCTTTTTACAATGTTGCTTTGGAGCATGGCTACATGTCAAGCCTGAGTAAGCTGCAAAAAGACATGAAGGATGTTACGAAATAAAAGTGCATGGTGAATGTCAATAAAGATATCTGCAGATTTGTCTCTAGAAAAATAATTCTGACCATATGTAACAAGCCTTTGCAGATTCTCAATCGGGAGGCTCGGTTGATGTAAGCCTGCAAGTTTCTTTTAAGAGAGGGGTGGGGGAGAGATGATTGATAGGTGCAGTAGACTCAGATCCTTTAAGACAACCTCAGGGAAACAGCATTTCCTTTAGATTCCCTTCCAGCCAGTGCTTCTTACATCACACAGCCCAGTAATAAATAACAGCTGATTGGAGCAGATCATGTGAGTAATGATGGCATGAAAATGACCTTCTACATGTCTTTGGCTAACACGTGGGAGAAACTTGATTGGAATGAACTTTTACACTTTTCTAAATTTTCCAATATGCTTTTTTTTTGGCTCCAAAACTTGCTAAAGTATGTAAGCACATTTATTTTAGGGTCAAATGCATTTGGAAATGCATGCATTGAGGAAAAACATCTGTATTTTGTTGTAAAATACATATATTTATATATAGCTACAAATGTTCACACACTTTTTAATTTTTTTGAAAAACCACACATTTCTGTGGGAATGTGATGGATGGAATTGACTCATGAATGAACAGAAGCCAATGCTAATCCTACTCAGAGTAGACCCTTAAATGTTCGCACATGACTAAGCTATGTCCATTAATTTCAATGGGTCTGCTCCAAGTATAACTTAGTTAGAGACCCATGAGCTGTAAATAGATTCATCCATATTTTCCTGCTTCTAATCATCTCAAATTGTGCAGATGCCATTTCATAGCAGGCCCACCTTAATGGTCCAAGCTAAATCAGACTGGAGAGCCGTTTCATAGCATATGCATCCATCCTGGGTGTGCAAGAAAATGAGTTTGTACAAACAACAGAAGTCTGTCAAAGGGTTTACTTCTTTATAGATAAGGACATGAATTTATAGCGCTTGGTTAGAGTGCAATAGGTTTACACATTTTCATCTCTGAACATCCTGAGATTCACAAGCCACCAAGGGATCAGATGCTGAACTCTCATCAAACATCAGGAAACATTTGGACAGGCTGAAGATAAAGGACTTCATATTGCTAGAACAGGTCAAAGGTCCGTCTACTTGAGCACATTTGAGTCCCACAGTTGCCAGGCAGATCTTCATGGAAAGCTGACAAGCAGAACAAGAAGCTGAGAGCTATTCCCCCTAATTATTTGTCTTCAGAATGTGGTACACAGAGCTACTGCCTCTGTACATGAAGGCTCCATTCTCAGTTATTGTAGATAATCACATTCCGTTTATTAACTGGATGCTCCACTCGTGCAGGAACTTTTGGATGCTTCTTTTTTTTAAAACCAAATACAGCATTGTTCTAAGGTGCTTGTGCATCCAGTGCATGCTTCCAGATTGGGATTTTAGATATAGCTAGAGAGGAAAAGGCATAAGAAGAGTTGTGTTATGCAGAGGCCATGGGCTGAGCCTGTTTTTGTAGATGCTCTAGTTGCACAGTAACACAGGCGCCGAGTTGCACTCAGCATTTGGGGGACCCAATGCGCACAGAGGAGGCAGATCATCAGAAAGGTATGCTGGCAATCCATCTGAGATTGTCAAAGGGACACACAGGGCTAAGGTGTCCCTTTGATGATCAGGAAGGTGTGTTGGCGATCTCAAATTGGCACTGGTCATTTGGTTTTCTGCCAGCTATGCTTCCCAGAATGCTTTGGGAACAACACGATGTGGCATTGCTCTCAAAGGCAAGTGGGATGTGTCTAGTAGTGGGATGCTAGCGGGACACATTAAATAAAGAAATTGGGGTTGGGGTCAGAAAAAAGGCTGGCCTTCTCATAAGTTGAAGGAATGGAAATAGCAACTTCCCCTCCCAAAGATGGTTGCTCGGCTTCTCCCCTCCCAACTCCTGGTACTGTGCTTCTGCAAGCCAAGCAATGGTTTGGCTTAGTGTGATGTGCAGACTTCCGCTCTTCATTTATCTTACTCTAAACAAACCATGGATTGGGCCCTTAGAAACAACAGCAGTCTGGAGAGTCACTTACCAGTCTAAGGAGTATCTCATGTGCAGGTATCAGTAACTGTGGGAGCAAGCAGAGGAGAGAGAATTGTGAGGCTGGCCCTCAAGGTGTGCCACCTGGCAGTCCAATGTTTCTTCTTGTTACATTGCTTCTAACACTGACTGTATATATCCCTCTGCATAGCATGTGTGTGTTTTGGTTGGGGGCTGAGGAGTGGGGAATAAAAAGTCCTTGTACAGTAGTACCTCGGGTTACAGACGCTTCAGGTTACAGACACTTCAGGTTACAGACTCCGCTAACCCAGAAATAGTACCTCGGGTTAAGAACATTGCTTCAGGATGAGAACAGAAATCGCACAGCGGGAAGCCCTATTAGCTAATGTGGTACCTCAGGTTAAGAACAGTTTCAGGTTAAGAATGGACATCTGAATTAAGATCTTAACCCAAGGTACTACTGTAGCTGCAGGAAGTGCTTGCAACCCAGTTCAACCCAACAAGGACTAAACCCCATCTGCACTAGACATTTGCAGCAGTATCATACCACTTTAAGCAGTCTTGGCTCCCCCCTCAAAATCCTGGGAGCTGTGGTTGGTTAAGGATGCTGAGAGTTGCCAGGAGACCCAAATTCATCTCAGAGAGCTACACTTCCCAGATAACAACCGATCCTTCTCAGTGAACCCTAGAAATTGTAGCTTTGTGAGAGGAAAAGGGGTGGCCCAAAAGCTTTCAGCACCTTTAACAAATTACAGTTCCTAGGATCCTTTTTTAGGGACACATGACTGTTTAAAGTGGCATGATGTTGCTTGCTATGCATAGTGCAGATGGGGCCTCAGAAAGGGAAGGAGGGCAGCAGTGTGAGGAAGTGGGGTGTTAGACCTGGTGTGAAATATATGGGGGTGAAAATTTGAAGAAAAGCCAATGGTTCGGGAGGCACAGAGCTGCCTTTAGGCAGCTATGATGATGATGATGATGATGATGATGATTGATTATTATTTATACCCTGCCCATCTGGCTGGGTTTCCCCAGCCACTCTGGGTGGCTCCCAACAGAATTAATGATAATAATAATAAAAAAGAAGAGAAAATAATAAAAAAGAAGAGAAGGCCCTCTGCCTGGTTCCCTGTAACCTCACTTCTCACATTGAGGGAACCGCCAGAAGGCCCTCGGCGCTGGACCTCAGTGTCCTAGCTGAACAATGGGAGTGGAGACACTCCTTCAGGTATACTGGGCCGAGGCCATTTAGGGCTTTAAAGGTCAGCACCAACACTTTGAATTGTGCTCAGAAACGTACTGGGAGCCAATGTAGGTCTTTCAGGACCGATGTTATATGGTCTC